TCCACAAGACTTAGCCCACACAGCTGAAGTGGCAGCCAGATCCATCAGAAGGAAGGAAAAGGAATTCAAAGCGCTTGAAAGGTTCAAGTCTTTTTGGGCCGCTGGCTGGGAAAGTCTTCAGCTACTGTCACGACTCACGGAGCGTAAGATGGTAGAGCTACTGTAACTTAAGAGGGCAGAGTGCCTAAGGGCCATTTGGTTCGTACGTGACCACGTGTGTCGGTGATCGGCCCGCTAATGTCTGTCGACTCTCACATCCATCTTGAACTTGAATCAGAACTTGAAGGTCTCGCTTTTCTCTGTATGTGGACATACTAGTCTTTATTTCTACACGTTCATGACACTATTCTTAAGGCATTGTAACGTGATTGTGTCGGGCAATTCAGACTTATGGAGCACCTTCCCCCTGAAATCCTGGAGCAAATCTTCTTAGAATATGTTGCTGGTCATCGCAAAGGCTGGTCAGTCTTCAACACCGTTGCAGGTCCTGGGCTTCTTGCTGCGGTATGCACAAGGTGGCGATCTGTAGCGCTGGGTTATCCAAACCTCTGGTGTCTCAACATGGATATCAACACCAGAGTAGGGATGGGCTATCCCGACGCCCTCACTCGGCTTCGAACTCTTCTTGAACGATGCGGAGACCATTTACTCTGCTTCAACCGTTTCTCATTGGTACCCGGATATGTCGAACAAGTACCACAACTTTTTGGTAAAGATCATCGAGCTTTTGATGGAGTGGTCGCCCCAGTGGGAGGAAGTTCACGTTTTCAACTCAAACACCACTCCGACTTTGTTCTCAGTACCGGGGTACTATCCGCAGCTCAGAAGCATAGAACTGTTCCTCCACCCCGACGCAGTCTCCTCCGGTGCTACCCATACCTTCGGCTTCATCGAGGGCCCACGTCTCAACGACGTCAAAATATACAACATCAGTTTACTCCGTGTTAATCTGCCATTCTCGCAGCTACGCTCGTTGGTGCACCATGCTAAATATTATTCCGCATCTTCTGTCCCAACAGCGATTGAAATCCTGGACAGATGCCCCAAACTGGAGCTCTTCGATTTTGATCCCGAGTGTATTGATGTACACCAACCACCTCCTCCGGAGCGATTGGAACACGGATTAAAATCGCTCCTCACAGCCGACATCGCATTGTTACAGGTGTTGAAACTGTCAAAACTCCAATCTCTTTCCGTGATGCCGTCACAGCATGGTCCACGAGGCGCTCTTTTCAAGGCTCTTCCTTATATCCTCGATTTCGTCCAGGCATCCCGTTGTTGTCTGTCTACTCTTCGTATAGATGACTGCTTGCTCGAAATTGAGGCTCTCGCCGCTATACTGGATCTCAACCCGAGTCTAGTGAAATTCTCTATCCACATTTCAATCCGCCATGGGATCGCAACCAGGGCTTGGATTGAGTTCAATATGCGGGAGGCTATCAAGATGTTGACACAAGTGACCGAGAGTGCCGAGGGGAATCGCACTCCCACTCTCGTTCCGCACTTGAAGATCATGGAATACTTTGACCATGTAAACACGGAAGCGGCGATTGGCTTCATTGACTCTGCCTTTGTCGACGTGCTTCATGTTCGGTACCGCAGCGATGGAGAAGGATTGAAAAGAGTAGATGTGGTTACGGAGTGTGGGCGCTTGGTCAACTAGACCAGGATGGTTGGGACGCTTACAGAAACTCAAAGACGATGGTATGATAGTCCGCATCGTGAACAGCTATGAGTATCGCAAAATGGTTGGTAGTACCCTGAAGCATTTTGACATTATATGAGTTACTTGTATTTACTGAAAGAGGTGCTACAAAATTGTCCTTTCCTTGTTCTGAGGAACTAGTGGCCCATAACACAATGCGACATCATGGGTCTCCCCTCTGGGTTGTTATGTGATGTTGGATTAAAAACCATGGTGGAAGTGACAGGCAGATTGGGCCAAGCGGGGTTTACAGCTGTTGTACAGCTGGAAGGGGTAGATTCGCTCAGTGTCTGCCCTCTGCAACAGCCATTTGGTATCACGGCATGCTTTATCGCAGGTAGTGCGAATAGATCTCAAAGGTGTTGTTATCTGCTGAATAATGAGAAGACATTTCTGAGGATCGGTGGCGCGTACATTCAGCCCGATTCGTCCGTCTTCTCAGCCGCCACAGTTTGGTCTTGCGGTTCAAGGGTAGCAAGCAGTGTATCCAAATTTCCCAGCAAATTGTCCAGCTTGTCCTCCATACCCTGCGCAACACCGTCCGCTGTCTCGAGGCGGCTTAGGAGGGCGGCGACGTTGGCCTCATCGGTCTCATCCAGATGATCCTGCGATAGCAACGACGACAAAAGCGCGAGGTCGGCGTCGAGCGACGAGCCGGTACCATTGGGTTTCTCGTTCGCCATGATGATGGTGGTAAGAGGATAGGCGGTCTCGGCATTTGCCATGCATGGGTTCCCTCCGACCACTACTTGCCTCTCTTTTCGACTCCCTGCCGCCGCTGCCCGTAGCCGAGGCTGATATCAAAAAGCATGTCGAGAACGCGCTAGAAGAGGCGAAAAAGGTGAAATTGCCGGTGGAAGTCAAGAAAAGTCAATGGGAGAACCTGCTGAGGGCTGAAGTGTTCAAATTGGCGGTATGCTCTGTGTTCCTGTCAGTGTGAATGGGATAATTGAACTCGACATAGAAAACTGAAGGGCAGGCGCTCAAGGACGAGCATACAACCTACTACGATGATCTACAAACGCGGCTGGATGTTGCGCTTGAATTCACCACCCTTGGTTCGGTGTTCAATTCATTATATACCGCGTCTGTTAACTGTTGTATAGATGCCTGTGAACAGTCGTTCATCTTCTTACTACTTCAGGATCTACTCGACACCCAAACCATTGCATCTTGCTCCCACATCTTCTCCTGGCTTGAATTGCGTGCGCCACGATTAACAGCTGGGATGGTTCCTCAGAAGGGAAAGGCTCTCGTGCTTCTGCGCGCGCTCAATGATCTCCTCCGCCGTCTCTCCAAAATGGGCTCGAATGCCATGTTCTGCGGACGCATTCTCACATTTCTCAGCGGCGTGTTCGCTCTTGGCGAACGGAGTGGTGTTAATCTACGCGGAGAGTATGGTCCAATGTGGGAGGGCGTACAGACCGCTTTCAGAAAGGCAGAAAAGCTGCCCGAGGAGGATAAGACAAAGGACGCTGCACAGACGAAAGAAGAGGACGAGAACAAGATGGACGTCGACGAAAAGCCGGCAGCACAGGAGAAGCCTGAAGACGATTTCTACAACGTCTTCTGGTCCCTGCAGCTCCCCTTCTCCAGACCGCCTTTGTTCGCGAATCCTGGAACGTTCTCTTCATTCCAAGAGGCGGTCAACAGGGTTCTCCCCGTCATTAAGGAGCACACGACCAAGGAGCGCATCATGATGGGCAGTCGCACAGGTCCTAATAGTCTCAAACGGAAGCGCGAACAATCCGAGGGTGAGGAACCCATCGCTGTCGGAGAGTACTTCTTTGCCAAATTCCTCACCAGTCCTGATTTGCTCGACCTGGAGCTCAAGGATACTCATTTCCGCCGCCAATTCCTCTTGCAGCTCGTAATCCTTCTGAATCACCTCCTCACATTCACCAAGGCTGCCAAAGACGCGTGGCAAACCCCGAAGAACCGTTCTCTGAGCATGGAGTTCACGCTCGAGCCGGCGGAGGCGCAGTGGGTGCAGGAGACGATAAGCAAGGCCATGGACGAGCTCAAACAGACTGCACCGAATGGACGCGTGTTCGCGGATACTGTGAGTGTGATACTTGAACGGGAGAAAAATTGGATCAAATGGAAGAACGACACTTGCACGCCTGCCTTTGATAAGGTGCCTTGGTCGACTGAGGTCGACGGGAAGAAAATGGGTATGCAGGAGGCGACGAAAGATTTGCGAGAGCAGATGCGCGAGCCGCTACCGCCGTGGAAACACGCCTATGGGAGCGAAAATCTCACCAATGTATGGGAAATGGGATACCGTGATTTGGGCGATTTGGAAAGTTTCTCGTGAGTCGATTTCCCTCTTGTAGACCTTGTTCTGACTTTTTTCAAGAGGGCCGGATGACGTTAAGACATACTGGAAGCTCATCCAAAGGGACAATGCCATGATAGAGGCCCGGAAGAAGCAGCTGACGCGGGCGGCAGAGCAACGCGCCAAAGCACTGGCTGACAAGGTGGCGAAGGAGAAAGCGGCCAAGGCCCTCCCAGAGAAACCGGCCACGGAGAAGGAGGAAGCCGACAAGGACAAAGACAAACCAGCCGACCAGGACGTGAAGATGGCTCCTCCCGATGCCAAACCAGATGTAGCAGCAGATGCACCCCCGCCACCGCCGCTACCCGTTATACCGAAAGTGGTGTTCTCGGCCGATGTGCAGATTCAGCGCGGCGAAGAGTCGAAGCAGCGGTTCTCGTGGCTGGCGCTGCGCGCGGTGCGCGATCAGCATCTTGCGCTGTTCAGCAAGATTGGGACGGGGGATGTGGAGCTGTTGATCAAGGGCATTGAGGCGCCGCAGAAGGAGAGTGGGTCGGCGAGTCCGGTGGTTAAGATGGAGGGCGAGGTGAAGGAGAAGGAAAAGGAGAAGGTGGAGGAGGATACTAAGATGGAGGTGTAATTTTATTAGTGTGTACTACTCGAGACGTGGCAACTTGGGTGTGGTACCAAGTTAGTCGACCTTGAATGACTTTTACAGGACCTTTCTATTGACGATGGACCTAGGTCAGGTCTTTCACAAACTTAAGTTTGTGTTTCTACAAAATGGTAGGACGACTTCACAAATGTCATGCCCTTTCTGAAAACTATACCTTTCGAATATGTATTGGTTTACCCCATCATCATATTGGCCATGTCTTGGCATGTACCGCTTTTGCCCACTACCAGCTACGATGGATATCGCAGTCGTCCCGTTCCAACACAATGATCCCTAAGTTTGTGACTGCTGGTTGTCGGCTGTATCCCCTCTCATCAATCGAAACTTGCACACTAATTACAGTCGGTATCGATTAGGGGTTAAATCACCTCGTTGTGGCGTAGTTTCTCCGAGGAGCCACTGGTTCGATTCCAGTTACCGACAGTACTGTTTGCAAATTGCTTTTTACTGATTCACATCTATGCTTTTGGCCAGGTTCCTGGTTCGCCTAGGCCCTAGTAGCTGGCTGCTGAGAGCTCGTAACTCGTTACCAACCCATCGCCCACCGAGCCCGGCCCAACGCGCCCCCCTGTTAATAACCTTTATCAACCGGTTGAAATAATATTTCTGGATTCTCATTTTTCGAATACCCAATACAGTGCAGTACTTACTCTTGTTCTACCAACGAAGTCACAAAGTCTTCTACTTCGCAGCGACGGGCTCAACGAGTAGGTGACGCGTATACGACTCCAGCTCTCTCAATGTCTTGCATTTGTGAATGAGAGAGAGTAAGAACGAATGATTGGAGCTGAGCCGACATAGCGCAAACATGTAAAGTACAAAACTGAATCTTAAAACAAGGACAGTTCGTTCATCTGACCTTGTTCAGGTGCTTACCTTTCTATTTGTCCCACTCTACACGGCTGAAACTCGAAGAGGACGAAACGTACACTGAGGCGTCTCGGGCCTTGAAGTTTTGATACCCATTATTGAACAAGGCGTGTTACCACCGTCCGAGTAGAGAGTTAAGAGCTCATCGAACAGTGCAATCTCGTCATACTGAAGACTGGAGAAAAGGAAAATTAATTTCATGAAGCAGTAAGCTCTGTGCTTTTCGGTAGGTCACAAACAGTAAGCCAATGAGAACCCAGTCCTGCAATGAATAGTGCTCAGACGAGTTGACAGGAACGGGTATACTCAGGTCTTACCGTGCAGGAACAGGCGTTCGCGACGACTGTCATAGGCGACGGTCGTTATGAACGACAGTAGCTGACCATCGTCTTGAAGCACCTGAAAGGATTAAGTTCACTCCACTCGAAAATCGACTGCTGTATTAATCACCTTCTCCACATTGTATTTCTTCCCGTAGAATGAGTCAGGCCCAGTATTTATACCCAGTTTCCAAGAAACGTGAGGACAAGGATGCGACATGTTCCTCATTGTGTTTCCTGCTTCTGCCGCTTTGGGGATTCCTACGAACAGCGTCAATAATGCGCTACAACATGCATCGATCGAAGGTGCTACCAGCGGCCCAAACGAATCCGTCCTCGTCGATCGTCAAATTGTCGTTCAAAGTGTCTATCAGTCATTAATCACCACGGTACGACGAATTAAAGGCTTCATACCTGTTGGTATAATGTCTACGATGCTGAGAGTATTGTCGGCTTGCCGCTCCATGACTTTAACGCCGCCTGCCAAGGCACACCCAACATAGATAGTCCCATTCGGTGCTTGTGTTATTCCATTGGGGTTAAGCAGGTTCCCGATGGCTATCTTACAACCATCATCGACGTGACAATACCCAACACTGGACGTAGGGCGAATCATCTGTCCAATGTCGGCCAACTAGAGAAGTTCTCTGATTCATTATCCATCCGCATGAATAAATTGACATACGAGCGTTCCGGCCTTCAGAGTAGCCTTGCCGTCATTCGTAAAATAGAAGGACTTGCCATCAGACGCCCCCACCAGGTCATTCGGTGTTTGGATAACGGGTCCTTCGATCGTGTGAAGATGAGCCGCGACGGTGCTGCCGACGACGGTTTTAAAGATCTCCACACAAGAGTCGTATCCAACGACACCGACATCCTGATCTATGGGCACTCTATGATGAATGAGGTAGATGAAGGCTTCGTTCTCGTCGAATTCCGAAGGGACAACATCCATTCCATGGAAGGAGATCGTGCGGGAGGTGTCAAAGTGCGGTAAAGCGATATGTTTGACGGAGGGGATGTTCTCGGGGTCGTATATGGCCAGGTAGTTGGAGCCTTCCACGGGTATTGTAAAGTCCTTCAAGGGATTCATCCAGCGGAACCTCTGGTCTATGGTACCACACGCCATGTATAGGAGACCTGTGTCTTGGTGTACTACAACCTCTGTGACGGGATAGATAGGCTTTAATACAACATGACAAATGTAGTACTGACTTTCGCATCCTGTAACCTCTGGTAACGTGAGACAGCGCTCTGGCCGGTTCTCTGTCTCCACAACACGAAAGAATCCTAGAGTCTCGACTATAGGTGCAATCTGAAATTGGAAGAAGATCGCCAGTAATGCGACGGAGAGGATAGATGCAACCAGTATGTCGGGCATGTTGATGGTAATAGACAAGATCGACTGTCTGAAAGAGAGCCCGGTAATGGACGATATGACTTGCAACGGCTGAGTATCACGAGGGCCATTCATAACCAATGACGATCCAGGAACACTTCCGTTTGATGTCTCTAACGCGATACGTGAGAGCTGCACACTAAACCAGAGAAAGCAGGCGCGCTTTTACCGTGCTTGCTCGGGGTCATAACACGATGACTTTGAGGGCTTGTAGCGTCGGACGGAGTATGACTGGAAACTGATGAACGCCTAGACCGCTGCTAGTGGGATATCCCGCGTTCCTCTTTCTCTGTCGATCCAGGAGTTGGGACCTCTTGGAATCTCCAGAGAATTCGCTTAGTGGACGTGTTATTTAAAACTGTGAAATAGCGGATAGAGGGTGGACGGGCGCAGAGGACGGAAGCGAACGTACTGACAAGCCACTGGACGGTAGCGGCGTTGCCCGGACCCGTACGTGGCACCAAGATCCTTTGCTCTTCGAGCCTGAGATCGAAATTCGAGTCGGAAGCGTATTGTTGGGAGAAAAGGCAGGCGTGGTGGTGTTTAAAGATTGTTGACAAGCTCTACAATAAGATACTGAGTGAGAAGAAGCTTCGATTTTAATCGTAGATCTCGACGCACATTCAAACTCCATAAATATTCTGCGCGTCCCAGCTCCTACGGTGTCCTATCGGTATGGTCACTCTAGCAATCAGTTTAAGGGATCATCATTACGGCGCGTTACTGACGAAGCTGAGATGAGGGCGGAACTGAGAAAGCTGGCGGAGAACCAACTTTTATCCCGGGGACGCCTTCGTTAAAAAAGCTAGTTTGACTTGGCCACGTAGTCAGGTTTCCGCCTGAGTCGGGATCAAGCCCCAGCACGTAGTGGGAAGGGATGAATCGCTGAATAAAGACTATTGGATTCTAAATCGACACCAAGAGTTGTATGAACTGCCGGCTCTGCTCGACCCAAACAGAAGAGGAAAGCGCGAATAAAGAATTCAGAGCACTAAGACATCCAAGTCGCTTTAGGCACTGCTTTGGCACAGACCGACCGTGGATACTGGGCCAGCTGCAATTTGACTTGAGTGCACTGAAGAAGCAGAGAATTTTTTGATGGAGCCTTATGTAGGCACCACGTGGACGCCGGTCTTTGCCGGGACGAGCTTTCCCGGCTGTCTCCCAGCAGCTCAGGCCGCCACACCGTACTTGTAAATTCGTTCTGAGCACCAAGAAATCTGGACCGCTCCTTATCTGGTGTCCCTGTCGTCTTCTTCGATCTCAACGTGTCGGTTGGGTGGTTTCACAGTGTGCGCCGCGGCCACGGTTTTCTTTACGCTACCGCCTAAGCCGCGAGTTATCTTTTAGACTGTTGGCCTGCATTTCGCTTTGTACCACCGGCATTAAACTTGGATAGGTGGTGTAGCATGCTGGGCATTGCTCCTTCTGATACTCAGATTAGATCCAGGTTGGAGCCAAACAGTCGCGGTCCTTCGAAAGCCACAGGAATGGAGGATTGAAAGACACCCATCAAGACGCTTCGATAAGAGAAGTTATCATAAATCTCCGCCGTCATCTCGATTCGCAAGACGGTGCACTGGCCCAGACGGCGGATGAACTTTCTCGAATGACTCCGCGGCACTGCTAAAAAAATCCTTGTATTTTATCTTCTGCATTCTACCTATGTTGCTTACTCATTTCTTCGACGCTTTCAGCGCTGCGTCAACAATTTCAGTCATCCTAAGAGCGCAACCGTTAGGCATGCCTCTAGGTGCAACAACTTGGAGAACGTACCGAATAACCGCTTCCTCTTCGTTCTTCCTGCCAACGCACTGGAGGGAGATAGGAGCGTCCCGATACATCTCCGGCTCGTCTGCGGAACAAAGTCAGCAGTATTGACGGACACAGAATCAGCTATGCTTACATAGTTCATAAATCATCTTATCGGCTGATGAACGGAATTCATGCGCTGGCGGCTTCACGTCGACGGCGGGATCGCACGCCGTGACCGGGAAGACGCTGGCAGTGTAATCGCAAAGATTGGACAGTGCCGTATAATGAATGTACCTCCATGGCGTATTAGGTCTATCGCGTTGTTCATGAAGGACACGAAGACCAGAAAGGAACTCACTGGCTCTTCCCATGAGGCTGCGGCGCGTTCGCACTGATAGGGCATATAATGGCGTCCACTGGACGCCCTGTTCCGGTGGAGGAAGCGGTAGCAGTCCAGTGGTCGAGATGCTTCTTAATCCAGAGTGATTTGGCACGACATACTTGCCAGTACTCGTATGTGCTAAGGTGCTTGGCGCCTTTGGCGAGAATCCATCCCATGCGGGGTTCTCCAGAAAGTCCACAAGCTAAATTAATGTCATGCTATTAACAAGAGAAGCAAGAGTCAGAACTCTGACGAACGAAGAGCCAGACACACGTACGCCTCCGTCAGCGTTCCATATATCACTGATAATTTGCCACCCCCCGGCACTGTCGTATGGGACCCAGTCAATAACTAACAATGTGCAAGTTCAGGTCCTGACCAAGAAAGAGAAGATCGTGGTAAATACCTGTGTGTCCGGCTGCTTCCAAAGCCGCTTTCGTTTGTTCAAGCGCACGCTTGTACGGAGGCATCGGCTTGCAAACGCCGTCGTCCCACATGATGGCGAAACACAATTTTCCGTTCTCGCCACCATAGTCAACCAGATTGTATGCGTCTTGATTCCATGGAAGACGTAAGGCGACTGGGTCGTGAAGCCAAGGTTTCGCATCAGCCATGGCCTTCATGAATATCTTGAGACCATTTATCGAGCTACTCAGAGGTCCGAGTACACTGTAAATCCCCTCTTGACCTAATTGAC